GTAATGAAAGCCAACTTTGTGAACTCTTTGAAAAAATTGCAGAAACTTCTTTCGATGTCAAGATAATCGTAGGCGATTTTAATTTGCCAGAAATTGACTGGCACACACATACTTCTCCTCCTAAATTCCAGAAGCTGCCTGACACAATTTACTTTTCAAACCTGACTCAATTAGTTCACTCTTCGACCAGAAACGATAGTGTTTTAGACTTAATTTTTACTAATGGCACCTTCCCTTTATCTATGGATTTTTTTCATGACCTCTTTGCAAGTGATCATGCATTAATTCATTGTCGCCTTCCAGTTGCCATTTCCGCAAAGCCAACAGTTCAACGTGGTATTTTTGACTTTGCTAATGTTAATAAGGATTTAGTAAATAACTTTACATGCACTCTTGATTGGCACAATATTTTTTCAAATAATGATCTAAATTTTTTCAACAATTTATTACAATGCGTAACAGAAGGTCTTCTTGACCTTATTCCTCGGAAGATGTTCAAACCGAGTGCTAATTCCACCGCTATCCCACACTTTCTTAAAAACAGACTTAAAAAGTTACGGAAGCAGTTTAAAGATCCTTCTGTGAGTTCGTTATCAGTTCATCTAAGAATCGTTGAAATATTTGAACTAGCTTCGAAAATAATGCTCGAGCGAGATAGGCGTAGAGAGTCTTTGGCTATTAATGATGTGAATTCTTCTAAATCAGTTGCTCAGATCTTCCGTCAGAGATCATCTGCTAAGGCCCACCAAGTCATTCCGCCCTTGCTTAGTGCAAGTGATGCCTTCATTACAGAAGAGTCAGGCAAAGCAGAAATTTTAAATTCGTTCTTTGCCAAGCATTTCACCATTGAAACTGATCCGATCCCTTTAATTCCTTCGTTGTCTGATGCTTCTCTTAGCTTCATTAATTTTTCTCCTGAATGTATTCAAAAACTGATAAGTCATCTTCCTAACTCTCACTCAGTAGGTACGGACAATATCCCAAACTCTTTGATAAAACAACTAAGAGATTTTCCTCCTCTGCTTAGCAAAATCTTTTCAGTATTTCTCGTAAATGGCTTCTTCCCTGACTATTGGAAAACTTCTATTATCATTCCAGTATTTAAGTCTGACTGTCGTTCTGACGTACAGAACTATCGAGGTGTCCATAAAACACCCTCTCTCGCCAAAATCTTTGAAAAAATTATCGCCATAAAAATTACCGAATTTTGCATAGCCAATCAAGTTATTAGCCCTTCCCAACATGGTTTGTTACCAGATCGCTCTTGTGAAACATGTCATCTGTCGTTTCTCGATCTACTTACCTCTCTTCGTAATGATCACCTATCTGTTTCGTAATTTACTTTGATCTTAGTAAAGCCTTTGATAAAGTGCCACATAAAAGACTCTTGGTTAAATTGGAAGCTATGGGAATTCGCAGTCCACTAATAGACTTTCTCAGGTCATACCTGTCTAATCGTAAACAGAATGTTTTGGTGGGATCTTCACTTTCCAGTGAAAGTCCTATTGTGAGCGGTGTCCTACAAGGTACCGTTTTAGGTCCTCTTTTGTTCTTGCTTTACATAAATGATATTTCAGCCGCAGTTAAACATTCTCAATCATTTATTTATGCCGATGATCTCAAATGTGTATATTCTTTTGAAAAATCTACGAGCCTTCATTGCCTGGAGCAAATCCATGCTGACTTGCTTGCTCTCTCAGCTTGGAGCTCAAAATGGCTAATGGGATTCTCTCCGTCTAAATGTCGTTATATGTGTTTTGGACCTGATAGGCTACCCCAACCTGTGGTCTTTCAAGGAACACCTATGACTGAATGTACCACCATCAAGGATTTAGGTTTAAGCTACACTAGTAATCTTGATCTCTCGCCGCACGCTGACAGAATTACAGCCAAAGCTGCCCAGATTTGTGGCTTTATTTCTTAACATTTCTATCTTCCTGAAATTAAATTAAGGCTCTATCGTATGTTTGTACTTCCCATTCTCGAGTATTGTTGCCCATTCTTTGGTTTGATGAATGAAGCCAGTCGTTTAAAAATTGAAAATGTCCAAAGACGTTTTTCAAAAAAACTTTTAGATAGGGAACATCCCAATATCTCCTACTCAGATAGGTGCCAACTAACTAACCTAAAATTTTTATGGGTTCGAAGACTAGAAGCGGGCTTCTGTCTCCTCTTTCGCATTAATCATAGTTCAAATTTTCCTCGGATTTCAGCACTTACCCCTAGTAGTCGCCCATACAATCTTCGCAATTCGTCTATAATTATACCTCTTCCAGCGTCCTCCACCTCTAAGCGCTCCCTTTTTTCGCTTCCAGGTATACTTTCCTCTGGAATAACCTTCCAATAAATATAAGATCTTCAGAAAATCTACACACCTTTTAGAGAAGGCTACGCCTTTATCTGAATACTGACTCGATTAAACTTTTATTTTCCTCATCCTTCCCAGACAACTTTTTCTATGACACTGAGAAAGGGCCACCGGGAATTTAGCATGCCGCTATTAAATATCCGTATCTGTTCACGTTTCCTTCCTTTATGAGTAGTCTCGCTACCTAAGATCCCTCACCAGAAATGTTAATTATTCCAATTTTTTAGTTCATGCATCGTGCCCTCACAGAATGCACGCCATCGACGCTCTTGGCGAAACCTTCTGTATTCGCCATATACTAGTAGTTTGGTCGCATCTCCCTTCCCCCATCCTCGGTTGGACTCGGATGAATGTAATCGACCGCATCTGGGTTCCTATCGCCTCGAGACTGATCTTCATGATGTCCTCACTGAATGCGCTTCATCGATGCTCTTGGCGAAGCCTTCTATATTAGCCATATACTAGTAACCTGGTCGCATCTCATTTGCCCTATCCTCGGATGGACTCTGATGAATGTAACAGACCGCATCTGGGTCCTTTTCGCCTCGAGACTGGTTGTCATCGTGCCCTTACAGAATGCGCTTCATCGGCGATCTTGACAAAGCCTTCTATATTCGCCATATACTAGTAGTTTGGTCGCATCTCCCTTCCCCCCATGTTCCTCCCATGTTCGGATGGACTCGGTTGAATGAAACCGACCGCATCTGGGTTCTTGTCGCCTCGAGACTGGTTGTCATCATGCCCTTACAGAATGCGCTCCATCGGTGGTCTTGACAAAGCCTTCTATATTCGCCATATACTAGTAGTCGCATCTCCCCCCATGTTCGGATGGACTCGGTTGAATGAAACTGACCGCATCTGGGTTCCTATCGGCTTGAGACTGGTTTTCAATTTCGGCACTTATTTTTCTTATTCAAGGCGATACAGGCCAGTCCTGATCGACCCACCTACGTACCATTTTATGAAATCCGTTACACAATGCCATATACAGCTGACATCTATTTCGGCCATGTTGATGTCGGGCTTTATTCCATTTTGTACCGCCACATGCAGGCCAGTCCTCCCTTTTTTTCTGATGCTATTTTTCTGAGGGGTTTTTTTTTCTCCTGTTAAATTACTACAATCATTTTTAAATTTTGCTTTGGAGTTTTTTTTCACCCCTCGTTTTTTTTCATTTTCATTTTGCTTAACGGACTTCTAATCTCAAAAACTATGCATTGCACTTTGTGCAGATTTTGCCTACATCGTCTAAAATTTGCATGTAAATTTATTTTTACTTGCTTTGATGGGACCTCGACGGGTCTTTAATAAAAATAATTGAATTGAATTGAATATTCATCGTGGAATTCATCCTTAGTGATTTCGCCGCGTCTTTGCTCTGCATCAAACATGCACTATTTTTGTATCCAAATATGCCTTTTCTGGAATTCCCCCTCATATAAATTTAGGTCCACAAGTGAATTATTAGTATTCAAGATAAAATTATGCTATCGCCTTACACCGGAACAGGTCAAGTCCTTTCAGTCCGGTTTATTCCCGAACACTCACTTTCTGGACTTTGGAAATGGTCCCCTGACATCTAAGGCTAGATATTACACACTTTACTTATTCAGCTGGAAACTGTCACTTCACTTTTTACAGCCCCATAGTCCTAATTGAGTGTTAAATCCATTGATATCGTCCTCTGCGGCGATGGTCCTCATGACTATCAACGCCCAATCCCTATTTCAACCCTAAGCGATTCGCTGATGATTAAGGAGGGCAAGGAGGAACTAAGGTAACCTAGAATTTGACTTGTCGTACCTTTAATGCACAAAAACGTAAGAAGTAAATATCACCAAGTACAGTTTCCAATGAAGAACGGTATTTCTTTAGCTGACTCTGAACCTATCTCTCTATCTCCTGACCGAGCCTCAGGCCACTCCAGGGGTCTCCGGTCGCATTTGATGTCGGTTATTTATTTACTTAAGTTCTGTCAAGGACTGAACCTTAATATTTTCAGCTCTAGCTGTCAAGAAGGTTTGCTGGCGTCTGCCGTGAGATCCGAAAGAAGAATTTGATGGTAATGGTCTCAGTCCCGGGCAGATCTGATATTTGTAGAATGGCAACTGTTCAATAACAAGGCTGGCTGAGTTCACTTATGCCCTGCAAGCCACGTTGTACTTCTCGAGAACGCGAATGTGTTGTCACTTTGCTGTACTGCCCTCCTTAACCTTAGTGTCTTATGTTAAATGCCTCCGTTGACCTGCGGAGTCAGACAAAAGTATTTTGCAAGAAATAAAGAGAAAAGCGACCCCTTCTTCCTAACTGACCTTTCGACAGGTTCAAAGTTATACGCCAACGTCTTCACCGCCAATTTCATTAAGTAAAACGCAAAAAAGAAATTTATACATGCTAAGGTGAATCGAGTACGTGTGTCTACGTACCCGCAGATGTTAAAGGTAATAAAATCTCTTCCTGTTTGCCTGCATTTAAGGATTTTGGTCCACCCTTCTTTTTCATGCTCCGTACAAGTTCCAAATGTTTTAAAATAAGTAAGATATATCTAGTGGAGGAATAAAAAGAGGTCAAGTAAGAACAGATTATTCGGATTGGAATCGGATGAGGGAGTAGTCTTGGGAGCATGAGGGTCCTAGCGTTTCTTCAGGACCTCGTTTAAAATTCTATTTGACTCTTTCTGGAACATTTCAACAATTGTTTCGTTTAGAGCTTCAGCACTGGGTTTTGTCAGCATACAGTTATCATAGTAGCCACCCGGTTGCAGATCGTCCGCCAACGCTGCTTGCATGACCGTCTGCGCGGCCTCCCAGCGTGTTTTAAAGAAGGCGCCGAAAAGAGTGGGTGTTAGGATCTAGGAGGCAGAAAAATGTCAGAGTAAGGCGGATAATTGTCTCTCGGCAGCCCCTATTCAGAAGTGAAGTGCTGAAAATGTATGTGTTTACTAAATGCAAAATAATGCTGCCAGAAAGTCTGTTTTATGAAAAAAATACTGAAAAACTTTGATGCTAAGGCCTTTATACAGATCGATTATCCATACTTATCGCAAACTAAGTCATGTAACCAGCATCTAGTGGAGCCTATAACGAAAGATAACTCTGTTTAGTCCTGGGTTAATCAAACTGTTTGGGGCTTTGCACCGAAAATTAGACCCATAGCGCTCTGTAGCATCTTTTAATCAACAGTGCATTGCGTATAATGGGATGTTCATAGTGGAGACACAACTAAGAGCCGCGGTACTTTGGACAATGGACGTGGTTAGAGGACTGAAATTGCCGTACACACGCGTTCGTCATTTCTAGTTCGCTGGCGTACGCGCTCTGCAATCCGCTTACGCCACGCAGGACAGTCTGTCAAAACGTCGGTAACCTAAACGCACTTGCAAGCACGTCTAGACTAACGCTTCTCACTTTATTTATGATCGTCAATCAATAATACTCGGTCTGAAAAGACCTGGTGCTTTAAACTCGGCTCATTTGGGTTGGGAGTTTCTTGTCTAGTGATTTAACCTGCTGCTAGGCCCTGCTTCGCAATATCAGCAGCTTGGGAGTAACTGGTTAACAACGTAAAAGCAAACTATACCGGTTTTTCTTATTCTCATTGGTAAACCCTTAGATGGGTCTTCATTACGGGGTTATCTGCGAGATGTTCCAACCCGCTCTGGTATAAGATTAAATGCCTCTGTTCCATTGTACTATCTGACCGGCTCAGTTATTTTCGCTCCCAGATTACCAGTAGGGAAATGGCTAGTAAGTCTAGGATATCAATACTGTGGTTTAAGTCCAGGTAGACCACGGACTTAAACAAGAGGTAAAACCTTAGTAGAGAGATAAACTTTCCTCTCTTGAGCCATAACACCCTTATACCATCTTCTTTTGGAATTATATTCCATTTCACACGAACGTGACCCACCAAACCGACCACTGTTAGATAGATACAGAAAGGAAAATTCGCAAAAAGACACAATAAAAACGGATATGGCTCATCCAATGGAGATAATTTTATCTTACCCCTATTTGTGGCAGGACATATCCAGGATGTAGGCTCACTGGAAGCACAGTTGTTCCCTTTGACTTTTTGGCGAGCATCACACCATGCAGGACATTGGCCAGTTTCAGTTTGCTGAAGGCCTTTATGGTGTTGAATTCATGATGCTCAACGAAGAGCGAGCCGTCAGCGAACTTAATAAAAATAAGAAATAATTAATTCTAGGAGAAGTTGGATTGCCTTTGCACGACTTAAGTCCCCACGGGGGACTTTTGTTGCAGGTTTCATTTTTAAGCACCCCATGTGGGCATCTATAGGAGTTTAACGTATCCAGATTGTTATTGATTGCAGTGAACCAGTATACCCGACTACAAATTTAAACCGCAGAGCACAGCCACCATCACCACAATGCCCTAAGCGCAAACCTTTCCAAACAGAAGGCTTATATCTGTACCCTCTAAATGGAGTTTTCAGGGCTTCTGTCGTTTACTCCAAATATACTGACTGATACTGACTGACTGAAATTAAGTTAACTATCTGTCACTTCATCTTTCCTGGTCTGTAAGCGTTAAAACAGTTTTAAGTAAGCGTAGAAGTCTTTTATAGTAGACTCGATGTGTACTCCCATTTTCTTCTTTTATACCACTGATCTGCTCGTTTTTGATTCACACACTCTCCTTCTAACCTTCCGCTGTTCCCCTGTAATGTCCTCGTCTGCTAAAGAGTAAACACTACCTGCATACCTGGGTGTACGATAGAATGGACCTTAAGAAATCCCATTATAGAGACTTTCGAGCAGAGCGATAACCTTTCTTCAAGTGTGCAATTTGAAAAAGGCGTAATTTGCCACGAGACGAGTACAAGGAAGAATAATTTTGTGCATGTTTTACTTGAAGTATACTGAGTTTATAAGGGCATCGAAAATCGATGGGAAAAGTTTATACCAATTAAATGATTATTTTTAACCAATTGTGGTTTTTGCTGCAGCCGGAAAGACGCTTATTCAAAAGTCGGCGCTCTGGGTTGACTAGAATCCCTTTGCGCTACGCTGCAAGGTAACCAATGCTACAGCACTATCTTAGTTATCCTTTCGTCAACGACCGATATGCAGATCTTAGTTTTATTACTGTAACATGTCTGCTTACTTAGTTTAGGTAGGCATATTGTGTTAGAGTTATTTTTTTGTCCGAACACAAGAAAATGATCAACCTCAGGTCAAGGTTACGATTAGGTTCAGAGTTAGCGATAGAGAAGGGATTGGTGCTGGGGTTGAGGGTTAAGATAGGGGGCAAGTTTGCCTGCAGCAAACCATCTTAACCAAATCGATCTCCTTTAATCATTAACCCTGGAGTACCTGTATTCCACCCGTTTACACGCTCCCAATTCGCATCTTCCAAATTGCGCGGTCTTCCCGGCACCTAGTTGGGGAAATGCGAGTCCCCACAGTGTCCTCCGAAGATTCCGTTAATTGCTGAGTCCATTTGCTCTGGTGGTAAAACTAATAATAACATCCTTCTCGTTTTGGAGGAGTCCTTGTGGTCTGCTTTCTCAGCAGACCTACGTATCCAATGTTCGCCATCCTTTCTAGTACAAAACAAATTTCAGAATTTTGGTTGACATTTCATGCGATAGATCAGCTATTCTCCATACCTAGGCCTCCTCTCCTCCCTCTCCCACAGACCAGTTGACTGCCCCAGCATTTATGTCGGCTGGTAGGGCGCAAGGCCTAGCATGGCATGAATGGCTCCATCTACGGGTCTCATGCGCCAACACGCAGCAGTTGATAAGGCCTCACTGGCGCATCTTTGGCTCATAGAAGTAAGCACCATTCGGGGGGGGGAGGGTGGAGAAGGGGTGAGGGAGCATGGGTACTTGTAAGCCTCCGTGGTTATTTTTGCCGGAAACAGAGGTTTATGAGAACAGACACCTCGCATCCATCAGTAAAAACTGTTCGACCCCTTCGATGATATTCATCAGCAAAGTTAATTGGAATGTCGACCACTTCCGTCTGTTCAGCCAGCGGTCGGTGCGTGGAAGAAACAGGTTAACTTACATACATATTCATACTGACCCGACTATGAATTATTCATAAACTGCAAAAACATATAGGAATTAAGTGAGCCTGGTAGCCATCTGGTGGATTCTATGTGGATTATTTAGGAAATCCCGCTAGGGCAGTCAGCTAACTGTATCAGATTTGGTGGATTCCAGACGTTGCAGTAGGCTGGGCGGGTAACTTGACCCAAATGTGATTAAACTCACGTCTTCCGGTGGGGCCTTGTAGCTCAAATGGCTGGAGCGTTGGCTGTACTCAAGCCTTCCCCTTGCTGTCGTGGGGTCGAATCTCACCGAGGCGCCGAGTTTTTCACAGTTGGGTCAGCATGAATTACTCGAAATCTGCGAAAACGGTAACAATCGGGAGATGGCACCCAAAAAATCCGCCTAACCAAAGCAGCCTGTTTTACGGGAGGGGTGGTAAAAGAGGTTTTATGGGCGGTGGCTGGTCGGTATGTACGATACTAGCCGACGGAAAGCCTTATCTGAACAGGTGAATGATCGAAGTTGGCCCGCTCTCCGTTCCCTTATTACAAAATGGGCCGCCAAAGGCAGTATAGTGGTAACGGACCAGTGGAAGGCGTATCATCGTCTTCCCTCAGAAGGTTATCTACATTCCTCTGTTAACCACTCAAAGAACTTCAAGGACCCTACCACCGAACGGCACACCAATGACATTGAGGCATTCTGGAGTAGACTGAAAAGGAAACTCCACAAGGGAGGCCCAGTATGTGGTCGAGCTGTGTGGACTCACATACACGAAATACAATATCGTCTTTGGTTTGGCCTCAGTGCCATGTCCATGACAGATGCCTGGGAACTGTTCCTGTCCCATGTTGTGCAGACTTATCCTATTTAAAAGTGATTTTGTTTTGTAATAAACTGCCGTAATGCGAATGTATGCCGTATATTCAGGTGTACGTATGTAACGATGGGGAAAGTTGGGTAACAGCGACCATCGTCCATGTAGCCTCCTGTGATTTTCGTTCAGCCAGCCCATGTTAGGCCGTCGGCGAAAGTCCAAGTAGTGCGTGAAAGTAGGCCTTCAACTGCTGATGGAACCTGAAGGCGTTTGAGTCCACTGTTAAAGGTATTATTTCTAGGTGACGGAATTTTTCGGGTGCCATCTCCCGATTCTTACCGCGAAAACATTTATGAACTACATCAATATGTTTAAATTGTCATATCTGACGTTCCACGCATGCGGGTCTGCTAAATCTGCCGCTACTCGTGAGTCATGGACAATCAACTACTGTAGAACCATCTGAGCAGGAGACCGCCAACTCTCCTGATGGAAAGTGTCATGTTAATTTAAGATTAGCGGGTCAGTAAATGAGGTAAAACCTGCGTGAATGCAAAAAGGGCTTAACCTGGTACGTAATTTTTGGCTAATTGACACACGGCAGGACGTATCGATGACAGTTGCGAAAAAGGTACCTACTCTGACCGTGTTTTTCATTCGCTGACCTACGATGGTCTCATGACTGCAATCAGGCTTGTTAGGAATTAAGCACCACCATATCCTGGTACCCTGAAAAGATTTGGATACCTTTTTATGCTCTGTATTTGAAGGAAGGAAGGTATTTCGGAATTTTTCGAGAGTGCAAAGGTGTGAATTTGGTTCAACACCTCCATTCCAAGACCAATTTAATAATTTCATTTTAAATCTGGACGCCAAGCGCCCTGAAAATTCCCGGTCTCGGTGTCATTCATTTTCACTTGGATGGTTACCGATTCAATATGTTCCTACTGTTTTGCAGATTTATGATTTCTCTAGTCTCTTAAAACTGCTGTCATGGACCACAAAAGTATAATTTTGAGCAATTCATATTGACCCAACTGTGAAAAACTCGGCGCCTCGGTGGGATTCGAACCCAGGCAGTAAGGGGAAAGCTTTAGTACAGCCAAGGCTCTAACAACTTGAGCTACAAGGCCCCGCCGGACGACGCGTTGGTTCGAATCCCACTGAGGCGTGGAGTTTTTCACAGTTGGGTCAATATGAATTATCCAAAATCTGTCAAATGTCTATGAATTGCGTGAGCCTGGTAGTCATCTGATGGATTCTAGGTGAATTACTTGGGAAATCCTGCTTGAGCAGTCAATTTACTGTATTAGATTTGGTGGATTCTAGACGCTGCAGTAGGTTGGGCGTGTAACTTAACCCAAATATGATTAAACTCGCCTCGTCCGGCGTGGCCTCGTAGCTCAAGTGGTTAGAGCATTGGCTGTATTAAAGCATTCCCCTTACTGCGTGGGTTCGAATCCCACCGAGGCGTCGAGTTTTTCACAGTTGGGTCAGTATGAATTATTAAAAATATGCCAAAATATCTATGAATAATTTTGAGCGTTATATTGGACCTTAGTAACCGGAGAGAGGATGAGACCATTCTGGTTTGCGAAAGAAGTTGTTTGTTTTGAAATTACCTTTGACAGGTTGCATATATATTTTCCAGTCTGTAGCAAATATTTCAGATTCTGCGCGTTTCGTAAGGCTTACGGTGAATTTGGTAAGCTGAATTTTACTCATGTTTCTTCGCCAAAAGCAGCTGGCCCGACCAACTTTTCAGTTCTTCCTACCTTTTCACCAAAACACCGAGAGAGAGAGAATGATGCAGGCCCCGAAAAGACAAGCGCATTTGCGATAAAGAAACTTCTAGTACTGTCTCGTAAAACAGGCCGATCTCAACTCACCGCGTGTGTTCATCAAGAAAAGGACTTATTTCGCACTTCAAACCTAGGAGATTGCCGTCTCCCACGGGGTGGCAGGCACAGCTTTTCACTTAAGGCATCTGTTTGCGTGTCTCCACACACCAGACTTTTCTCGCGTTTCATTCCAAAGGTTTCGGTTTCCCCGCTAATCTTCGCCTGTCTCGATGGCTGCCTATCTGAAGCTCACTTAGCAGTGATCAGTTCGCGCCACATCGCATCACGTCGGCATGACAACTCACAACCTTTTTGGGTGAGTGCGAGTCGACCGTGCAGTGTGCCACCGAGACCTCCTGTCATGACGTGGGTGGCAGGCAAGCAAGCAAGCAAAACGTATAACTCACAGATCCGGAGTAGTGCTCGGCCGAGGAGATGATGATCACTCTGGCGCGGGGCTTCGATTTTGCCATCAGGGGGAAGAGCCGATCCGTGAGGAGGTAGTGCGCCAGATGACCGATGGCCATTGTCATCTCAAGTTTGTCCATAGTGAGTCTGTAGGGACCGTGGTTAACGACAGCATTGTTGATCAGGAAGTCCAGTCGATCGGTGACCTTGGCAACATCCTTGGCCAGCTGCACTACCGACGCGAGAGAATTGAGGTGCGCCTCTAGGAACACGAACTACAAAAAGGAAGCTAATGAGGATAGATTTGTTTTTTTTTATTGCTTTAATAATTAGAAATAGGTGGTCGTTGACCATAAAGATTTCTCTGCTTAGGGAAGGTAGTGTAGTTCCCGCGGGGGAACATCGGAAGGCCTCGATGGCAGTCACGTAAGCATCAGGAATGATGCGGGAAGAGAAGGAGCGGTAAATACAGGGGAGACTGCAGTGGTCACTTCCGGACAGGTAACCGTCATCAGGCAGCCATGCCGAACCAGAACGTAGATTTTCTGCCTTAATTTCATTCAATCGTAGCTCAATTTCTTATCTTCCTTGTGTTAGCCGCGGTCATCCGCAATTCAGAAATGTTGGCTGATTTAGGCAGAATGGTATTGCCGACAAATACAAGGGGAGACTGGAATGACCATTTCTGGCTTATTAGTCGTCGTCCGACAGCCACAATCAGCCCCGAAGTGTAAAACACCTGAGGCTCGATCCCGAAACATGTTAGTTAGAAGTCCACGCCTCTAACCACGAGCGACGGGCTCGTTGTCCTGTCGGTTGCGATCGGGAATATACAACGGCAGAGGCATGGCTGGATGACGACGGCTAATAAGCCAGAAATGACCACTTCAGTCCCCCTTGTCTTTGTCTGTAATATCATTCTGCCTATATATCATGCGCCGCTGTGCGGCTGCTGGTTGGGCTCAAGAGAGATCCCGTAAGGCACAGCCGGACGAGCGAGTCCCGTAGAAAAGATCGGTGAGCGCCCATCTACCATGCTGACTGATTGCGCGGAAATGTTGGCAAAAATAGTACGACACAGGAAATTTACAACCGCTAACATACCTCTCTAACCGGTTAAAGTAGCAAGTTATAATTTCTACAAGAAGTAGCGGGCGAAATACAAGCGCTTGAGCTGTTGAGAGGTTGGCAGTATGTAGCTGCCTGGAAAACTTGAATCAGTCATACCTTCTCCTTAATGAGACTGAGAAAAATGAAGGAAGAGCGGCGAAAAATTAAATCCCCAGCCGGCACTGATGAAGGAAGACTAAATGGAACTAGATGCAAGATCGCAGCCGAAGAAGTGGAATTAGACCGAGCTGGGCTCTGTTCGCGTTTACCTGTTCAAGTCTTCGAACTTTCAAAAGTATTTGTCGTTAAGAATCATGCAGGAGGTCTCATATTAATATATACATTATAAAATATTTTATAGGAAAGTCAGACAATCCGACTGCTTTCAAAACGCTGACTTAGTTTTACTTGAAATGGCTATTAAAATAGTAAGCAATGATTGGTTAATTCTGTACAAGAGCTTGATGCATTAAGATACAGCACACATCATATATCACCGGCTCCTAAGGCAGCGGTATAACATCTGCTAGTTCGCTTCGTACATCTCCCGTGCGTGACATGCGTTTGTCACCAATTTTACTCACTGGTGTATTGGAGAGGGAAGTTAGAGTAAGGTCGATCCAACTCATGTCCACGCCTATTTCCCCACTTCGAACAGCCAAATGCATTTTGCAACTATTACAGCGCGCACACCAACTGACGGAATAACTCGGTTCTCCTTACGACTGAGAATCAGGCTTCAATGGCTCCTCCTCGAAGTGACCTTTATGACACTCCGTCATTCGCGGGATCCAGGGCATCCCTGAACAAAGTTTGGCAAGGTTGAAGTTCGGACCAGGTCGTGTGTGAGACGCGTAGAAGAATTTTTTAGACTTGTCAACCATTGCGTCCACGCCGGCCTTTAACCTTCTTGATTTTTGTTTTGTTATAAAAATGCGGCAGGTTTAGCAAGAGATGTCGAGGTAGATATGTCACAAGTAGGTCTCATTACCGACAAATGTCCGTCCAAGTCGCAGCTGCATCCACCTCATGAGGAAATGATGAACGTCTTTGACTCGATAGCCGAACTTTCATAGGCTCAGAAATTTCGTTAAACCATGGTTAAATTCGAAAGTTCGCAAAATACAGGTCTTATTGGTTATATACAAACAGGGAAGAATCAAAAACCAAACGGCATCTCTCAATCATCCACAACTAGAGATGAGGGAAACTCGGTTGCCCAAACAAGAATCTTCTTCCAGTGTTAAGGAATCACTCTTGAACTCGGAGACAGCGATGTGTGACGGCAGCAGAGGAGATCGCCTCGGTATTTTATGGCGCCACGATCTTTGCGGCTTCATGGAAAGACGTCAAGTTATTCCCTGTCGTCTTTATTGAGGATTTTATGCCTCGAAATGTCTGCGTTCGTTCTGCGTAAAGGAGAAAAGGGAGGGAGGAATGCAAGAAAGAAAAAAAAGAGGATGAGGTAGGAAGAAGAAAAAGAAGAAGAAGAAGAAGAAGAAGAAGAAGAAGAAAGGAAGGAAGGAAGGAAGGAAGAGGAAAAAATATGAAGAAAACGGAGGAGGAGGAGGAGGAGGAGGGATGGATGGAAGGAAGGAAGGAAGGAGGGAAGAAAGAAAAGGAAGAAGATGTGAAAGGAGTAGGAGAAAGAAGATGTCTCGGCAATTTCAAATACAGCCAGTTTGCCTTATACAACAGCTGACTCATTCAAGACTCTGCCCTTCAGTGATACCTTTGGCATCTAAGTTGGCATCCACTTTGTCTGATATTCACCATAACCGGGGAATGATTGCTACCTGATCAACTGTACTGAAACTATGATTGCACCTGTCTCTGGTGTCAAATGTTCTGAGCGAACGTCTCGCGCATACGTTGGGTTTCCACCGCTACCTCTTTGACAAATTTGAGCTTAGCAAAAAGCAGTCGCGAGTTTTGAATTTTGTCCTCGCTTTCTGGGGCAGCTTAAAATTTCCTATAACTTCGCAGGATAAATCTCAGTAAATTAAGTGCGTCGACATCGTTGAAGAGTAATGTTATGGACAAAAGTGAATGCGTTACTCAGAACACCTGAAACTTCGTGTCTGTGGAGTTATTTCTTACCTCGGCTGGTTGAGTTTATCTGACAGAGGGATATCGGCTCTTATACACGAACTTTTCGACAAACTGAGCTCGCACTACTCAAAGGTCTTGTCAGTAGCCTCTGAGCACCCTTTTCAGCTTTTACTGAGTTACCATCAACTTTATCTTCTAGGGATCACACCGTCGTTAGCCTGGTATTTGCACGTCTTGGGGCAGGTTTTTAAAGGCCGCGTATTTGGTAAGTCTCCGGTGAAATAAAAGCACATTCGTTTCCTCGTTTCGAGAAAAGTTAGCGGCGAGGTTTGGTTTTGCCGCCTCACTTGATTTATACCATAAGGTTAGCTTACTAAAACAATATTAGTTAGCATATCCAACTTAGTCACTCGCTGGACTAGGAAGGGAGAGAAAGCGCAAGCAGACCTCAAAGCACGCGTAGGGAAACGAGTGAAGGTGGCGCGTACATACTCTCCCCCGAAACAGCCACTCACTGGATTAAGAGGGTACTTGGTGCGCAGTGCACAGCCACTATAGGGGATCCGGCAGAATTCCACACCGTCCGAACAATTCTATTAGCAAGTCTACTTGGCCACACGCTGGATTAGGATAATGAAGAGGGCGCAAGCAGGGCTCGAATCACGCAGAGGGGCGCATGTGTGAACTAATACCTGAAGTCTACGTTCATATCACACACCCCAGTCCTTAATCTGGCGATTCATAGATGGCTGTATTCTTCCACCCATTCTTTATTGTTCTTCAGTTATTTTTCCAGCTTTACTTAAAAAAGATTTAATTATTTTTAAACGTGTCATTCGAATGCTCGCCTCTGCTGCTGGTGTTTCCTATCATATTTTAGTTGATATCATCGTGCAGCGACACTTCAACTCGGTGGAGCAATTCGCTGACCGAATTCTGAATGACGCCGTCCATCCCCTTCATAATGAGTTAATTGCTGCGAAATCCTTACGCCCCATGCGTCGATGCTTCCGCCACATCCCTTGCCGCACTTCGGCCCATCGGAATTCCATACTGCCATTTCTAGCCCGGTATCTCACCTGCAAAGATGTTGAAAAACAAAAACTAAAACTCGATCTTGCACCTTAAAGTCCTTTTTTATTCATATATAATCATGTCCACCTGTCCAAAACCTGTTAATCTCTATGGTAATCACTGTGTACTGAAGAACCGTTTTTGCTGAAAGTTTTGAAAGTCATTTTCAAAATAAAGCTGTCCTCTCTCTCTCTAAGTAACCAAGGCTGGTGTATGAGCACTCGTCCCCCCGTGGCACAGTTACTAGCTGGATTTAAATGGTAAGGAAAATGCGAATACGTGACATCTGTAAAGTCAGCGTATTCACATCCACTGAAATTTCTCAGAAATCTTACCATATGGTATCACTCAGGTGGGGCTGCAAGAACAAACCTTGACAAGTTACTTAGGCCTGGTTTTAGACGAAAAAAAGCAACTACCTATATAGACGGGCCGATCTCAACTTTGCTTCCCCGTCTTTGTCAGAAAATTAACATGCCCTGTTTAAGGCTTGCCGGGATGCTCTAAATTCTTCTGGAAGTACAATTGGAAGCGACAGCTAGTTCAGTTACTATCCCAACAGCCTGCTGCCATGCATCTGGTCACTGGAGGAATTAAGAGCACAGATGCTAGTCTTTCCATCGTTTGTCGGAACCTCGAGTCTCAACTGGAGTTTGGCATTAAGTGGAAAGATAGGCGAATGCTATTATGCCGACTGCAGTGGCAAATCTGTGGCAAATCTGCAGTCTACAGACAGTCATGAACCGAATTAGGGGGGAGGGAAATTTCTGGAGTTTTAGCAGTCGCAAGTGACGACGTCCACCGCGTTCCCAACAGAGTAGGTGCATCACCGGCGACTTTCGCCGCATCCATTGCACTCCCTCCTCCTTCACTTGCCTGGGCTTGATAAGAATACGGCCGGGGGTGGGCGTGAGCGCCGTGACTAGCAATACCCAACGGCCGTCTATGAGTGCTACATATGACATGGTCCTCAAAACATTATCAGGTTTTGTGCTGATGACTCTAATCTCTAATCTCCTCAGTTGCCAAGTTCTTAAGTCGGGACTCTTAGTATGTCGTATTCCATTCTTGCTGCTGTGTAGCGCATATACAGAGCAGCGGCCACGCATCCTGCTGACTCTGGTCGCCTCCCTTTTTTAACGCCCGACCTTCTTTTAAATCGGTGTTATTGACTTGAGACGGTCTTTCAGGAAAATACGTTGCGTCTTTTTGGAAAATTTGGAATTTTCGCCGAAGGTTTGTAACAACAGTACATGGGCTAACTCATTAGATGTCAACCGAAATTTCGAAATGCGTTTTCGTTTCGAAAAGATTAATTAAGTACGGTTGTAAGACTGGTCAACCTGCAACATACTTCTATAATATTTCAGTTAACTCAGTAAGCTTTCGAATGATCTTCCTTCCGGCTGCATACCAAAACTACACTCTGTAAAGAATGACTACTTATTTAACATGAATTTTTCTCATTGATTTTCGATGCCCTTTGAAATTAAACTACATTTCACGGAAGACGTTCAAAAAATATTCATTCTTTTGCTCATTCGGTAGAAAATTACGTCTTATTCCAATCTTATACTTGAAGGACTGGTATAATTTGGTTTAGAAAAACCTTCCCAATTCCAGAATAATTTGGAACCCGCACTGTCATTACACTTGCATTCAGGATTTCCAAACTACAAGCCGTATATTTTCCGCGTACGGGAAACCATAAGTTTCTTTACGGTAGTAAATGGACACCATATGGGATTCATAAAATCCAGCAGTGGATTTGAACAATGTTGTTAACTTTTCGAGCCACAATGGTAAATGAAGAGGCATGACGCTTTATAAACGGCCATTTCATGGTATTAGAAAATCTCAAAAATAGAAACTTTTGAAAACCGAATAACGCCCTTCTTTCGAGTATAAAATTGGAAAAAGGCATCATTTCCTACTGAATGAGTAAGAGAATGAATAATGTTATGCACGTTTTCCATGAAATATAGTTGAATTTTTAAGGGCATCGAAAATCAATGAGAGAAATGCACGTATTTAATTGGCCACTTTTTACAGAGTATAGGTTTTGCATGCTGCCAGAAAGAAGTTCGTTCAAAAACCGACATCCCGGGGTAAGTGAATTATTGCAGAATTATGCTGTTTGTTGATAAGTTCTCCAACTCTACTTAATTTATCTTTTTGAAACGAAAACGCATTTCAGAATAGCGGTTGACATTTCATGAGTTAGCCCGCCTACTGTATGTCAAGTACTAGCTATTTGTTGGCCATTTATGAGTATTACGCGTATATCCGACTGCATCTGATGGATTTCGGCACAAATATTCATAGACTTTCGGACTGGGTCATTGAAGCTTAATTTCGACAGATTTGCCCCAAGTCAGCGATCGATTTTCGACATAAAAGTACCAAAATCAGAATTATCTTCTGCTCATTTCGGGTGAAATAATAAGCAGTATGAGCAAGAAACATAAAAACTGACTGATATTTTAAGCATACTTTTAGACAGGAGCGACTGCCTGAATGGAGTCCAAACAATTTAGCATGAATAGAGTTTAATGTTCATTCGTGAATGGACATTGCCCCCTACTTGTGTATCATTCAACCATACAAAGGAGCTGGATATTTAGCTCAACTTATGCAGCTTGCAGTTATTCAGTCACTTTTTAACGATTTCGTAAATGAAATCATAGTTCACGGAGAACCTTCAACAACTCTCCCTGCTTATACTCCTATCATTGAAGGTTACGTCTCCTCCAGATTTTTTTGTCTGTTGAGAAGGAAATTGCGGTTTTGAGAGTTTTACGGCCAAGCTCTTCCGAAGATTTCGGTGTCGCAGGTTTGCACTCGAGAAAATACACACAATTTCTCATGTCCGTGTAAGCAGACTTCCGACTATAATAAATTCGGATCGCATTGAATGCCTTGCGCGCAGAGCTAATCAACGTGCGAATACGTTACACGGATAGTTTCGCGGACGCCTCCCTATTTCTAGGAAGCAAAAACCATCTTAATCAGAAGTATTCTCTCATGTAGGGGTACAGTCTGGATAAAACGTAATTGAACGCAAACGAACATATTAAAAACGAAACTCACTTACAAGTCATCACAGTAACGCACTCAAACTACCAAAAACACCATAAATGAACGGAAAAGAGTCACACTACTGACGGGAGTATTATTTTGCAAATGTGATTTCTACGGATGACAGAAGCGCCTTCTAAACTTAAGTCAGTAATGTTGGCTTGTACAGATTTACTCGAGATTATGTTCCCTACTAATGCGCCTTTGCAGTCGCAATTCTGGTGCGAATAAATAACCAAATCATACTTCAGAAGAAGGAGGAAGAGATGAAACAGTCGTCACTAACGCAAACGCGTATATTCCTATGGATACAAGCCCATGCTCTGGCTCGTCATTAAAAGTGAAGGAAAAATAAAAAATCTGGTAAGTATGCCAAGACTGCCATCTAGTTTATTTCCAAGATTGGGCCCGTTTTCTTTGAAGAAAACAATACAGCGTCTAGTACGCGGATGTGAGTTTGGCCCGACGATCCGTTATTTGCCAAAAAAGTACTGGGAGTCCTTCAGTTCGGAGGCAGTTTTACGCTGCCCCAGACAATTATTTGGGTGAAAACGCTGCCAAGTCGGTGATCAGACTCCGTCACGTGTGAAGCAATTTGTGCTAGTTGATCACCATGCTTTCCTGCAGCTCTGCGCCGCTGTGTTAGTAATGTCAACTTGCGGCCCGTTTAATCAATATAGATGGTCGTGCATTCATCACAGGCAATGATGTAGAATAAGGTTGACGTCTCCCCTTGCGCAACCGATCCCTAATCTTTATTATTCAGCGCCCCATTGTGACGAATTAATGACTCGCATGCTAGCGTCGACATAAGTGGAAAGATTTAGGCTATTTTCAACTTCATTGCAACAAACACAAACGCATGTTTAAAGCATCCGGAAAATACCGACACCGCCCTGGAGGCTCAATCAGTCTTCCCTTATCGTTCTCTACTATTTTCTTTCCAAATCACTTCGAAACACTTGTTAATTTTTCGTGATTTTAAGTACTCAGCTTATTTAGTAGAAGTTTTAAATTTCTTTATGGCAGACGCAAGGGAAAAGATGGAACACGGGAAGAAGATCATGTTGATGGTGGCACAGGACTGATGATGACTATGCCTACCCTAATCCTTGTTATTAGGGTGGTGGTGGTGGTGGTGATGGTGTCTGGAGGGTGAGAAGGCAGGACAGATTGCTGAACCATTAGCTCCGTTCGCCTGACCCTTAAGATTCTCACTGACATTTATCTTCAGATCAAAAGAAGTTAAAAAACATTTAGCTGTCGTTTCGTTGCTAAGGCCAAACGATCTCCTTTGAATACTTTGGTTTAGTTGATATTTTAAGTCCTTACAGGCATTTAACTCTTCCTTTTTTCACTAATCGCCCACAGCCGACAATGAAGACCTTTAGAAATGAATAATTTTGGATGATATATCTTAATGGAGGGATCGAGAGTGTAGCTGGGAGTTGTGTCAGCCTTGTCCACTAACACTGTCTTCCTTCAGTCCGACCTGGGAGGAAACGCAAAAGAGCGGAAGCTGCCGTACTAAAATCCTCCCCAACGGTACTGCCCAAAGGGGCATTAGAAAAAAAACGATAATCGTATTTCCTTGAATCCTTTAGGGCAAATTTCGACTGTTAGTGTTAAAAATCAATGTTTTTCCAGAAACCTGATGATTCGAGCTCCTCCAAGTATATCCATTTGGATGCGGAAAATCAGCAGAGGACGTGTTTGAACGGCTATGTAATGTTTTATTACTGCACTTGTGTTCCGTTGGCAACCAATGATACCTTCAGTTTCACTTCTATACTATTGCATTCTCAAAGAGCAGATGTGACCATCGTACGGACATGTCGCGGCAGGCGACAGGAGCCATTTAAAAATGTTTGCAAACACACTCAACATAAACCTGAAAGGCCGTGTTTTAAACGCCTTCGTCAAATCCGCCGTCCCCACTTCTGACAAATTCCGAGGAGAAATAAAATTCTGTGTTTTTACCTCCAAACCGCTCAGACCACTCAAAGCCGTTTCGTTGCAAGCAATGACATTTATTTGGTGTTAGCTCTTTCCAGCATTCATTTTCGGCAATTATTCCGAACTTTCCTACTCAAGCCTCCTCCACTGGCTCAAATTTACTCGAGTGCTGTATTACCATGCATTGAAAGATAAAGCTGCTGGTTGCATTACATCATCGGTATCTGGGTGCGAGTAGTATCCGATACTTTTTGTGATACATCAAGTGTAGGCTGGTATAGCATTATCGACAAAGACAAGGGAGACTGAAATGGCCATTTTGGCTTATTAGCCGTCGTCAGCCAGTTAGGCCCAACCCCGAAGTGTGGAACACCCGAGGCTCGAACACGCGACCTGTTAGTTAGAAGTCCATGCCTCTAACCACTGGGCCACGGGCCCGTTGTCCTGTCGGTTTCGATTGGGAATAAACAATGGTAAGGGACGCTCACCAATCAATCTTACGGAACTCACTCCTTCAGTTGTGCCTTACGGGCTCCCTCCCGAGCCTAACCAGCAGCCGCACGGCGGCGGATGATATAGGCAGAATGGTGTTACCGACAAAGACAAGGGAGACTGGAATGGCCACTTCTGGCTCATTAGCCATCATCAGCCAGTCATACCCAAACCCGAAGTGTGGAACACCTGGAACTCGCTCCAGCGATCTGTTGGCTAGAAGGTTGTAGTGACATTTAAGTCCGTTTTGTTTTAATCAGTTACAATACGCTTTGACACAACTTTGAATAATTCAAAGAACACGCACGTGCACCTGCTGACGACTTTGTTCTTATTTACTAGTTTGTAACTGTTGGGATACTGCTATTTTCGTTTCCTGGATAGCCTACTCGCTGTGCCCAACTAGTGGGTTTGTCTCTTACAAGGCCAACGGGACGAGTGAGTTCCGATGAGCGCCTCTCTACCGTTGTACATTCCCGATCGCAATCGACAGGACAACAAGCCCGTGGCTCAGTGGTTAGAACCGTTGGATTTATAACCAATAGGTCGCGGGATCGAGCGCCAGGTGTTCCGCACTTCGGGGTTGGGTACATCAAGTGTAGGCTGGTATAGCATTACCGACAAAGACAAGAAGAGACTGGAGTGGCCATTTCTGGTCTATCAGCCGTCGTCCGCCAGCCCCAGGACACAACAGGACGAGTGAATTCCGTAAAAATGACCGGTGAGCGCCCCTCTACCATTGGAAGCTGGTATTTTGGAAAGAATTGTGTGGTGAACTCTCCCGATTATTCAGCTCGGTGTTTGTCTGAGAACCCCCACATGCTTCTCTTATTTTTGCCTATCTACGTCACCAGTTACCGAACGGCAGGAAGTTGAAAGCCAATGAAGGAGGCAGAAAAACTCTCAGTAGTTTCACTTGCCAAAATGAACATTAAGGCCAGGTGTACTTTATTAGTTTTGTTATTTCTGATATGATACGGCAACTGAGCGTACCGTATCCCTCTGTTTAAACTACTTAACTTGATAATGTAACGTTTTGCATGCCAAATGTGCTTAAACTCCCATCTCCTGGTGGAGCCTCGTACCTCTTGTGGCTGGCCCGTTATCTGTACTCAAGCCTTGCCTTTGCTGTACTGAGATTTCGGATTCCACCGAAGCCACCGAGTTTTTTTTAGTTGGGTCAAATTAATGAAGTTAACGGTGGTCATATGTTACAGATAAACTCTTGTCAAGTGTCGACTCCTTGTTTTTGAAAGGCTCTTGCGTCACCAAAAGATCACTGTGGTGTGAGCAGATATTTTTTACAAAAATGAAGTGCAAAAAAATCTGAATGACAGTAGGCGTGCTAACTGAAATGCGTTTTCGTTTCGAAAAGAATACTTACAAAGGGTTGTAAAACTAGTCATCAGGCAACATAATTCTATAATAACTCAGTTACCTCGGGATGCTGGCTTTCGGAAGAACTTCTTTCCGACCGCATGCAAAAACCGCACTCTGTAAAAAACGACTACTTAAGTAGCACGAATTTTTCGCATTGATTTTCGATGTACCTAAACATTCAATTATACTTCATAAAAAACATGCATACAAATATTCACTATTTTACTCATTTGGTAGAAAATGACGTCTTCTTCCAATATTATGCACGAAGAAAGGGGATAATTTGGTTTTTAAAAGCTTTTCCAATACCCGAATAATTTGGAACACAACCTGTCGTTTCACTTGCATTCAGGGTTTTGGAACTACAAGCAGTAAATTTTCCTCATACGGGAAACCATTCATTTCTTTACGATATTAAGAGGAGACTATATGGGGTTCATAAAATTTGGCAGTGAATTCGAAACATATTGTAAACTTTTCAAGCCACATTAGTAAATGCAGAGACACGGTGTTTTATGAACGGGCATTTCGCGATAGTAAGAAATCTCATAACTAGAAACTTCTTAAAAACCGAATTCTACCATTCCTTCGAGTATAAAATTGGAAAATGACGTAATTTTCTACCAAGTGAATAAAATAATGGGTATTTTATGCGTATTTTCCATGAAGTATATTTGGATTTACAAGGATATCGGAAATCGACGAGGAAAATCCGTGTTACTTACGTAGTCATTTGTTGCAGAGTGTGGTTTTTGCATGCGGTTGGAAAGAAGTTCGTCCAAAAGCCAGCATCCCGAGGTAACTGAATTATTATAGATTTATGCCGCATGATCATTAATTTTACAACCCTACGTAAGTGGTTATTTTGAAATTAAAAAGCATTTTAGAATTTCGGTTAGTATTTCATGAGTTAGCGCACCTTGCTCACCGTGCTGCCAGTTCGCCTAATCGATACACACCGCACAGACCAGAAGAATCTCCAACTAACCTGTGATTCATTCACCGGCCTGATGAACTGTCTCAGCTCCTCACTAGCAATGTCCTCATTGACCTTCAGGCCCCCTACACCGTAGTCCTGTAGAATGCTGTTTCGCACTGACTCAAATCCCGCCCGACTGGCGCCTGCAATGAGGACTTTGGCGCCGCGTCTGGCGAACTCGGCCGCTGTCTCCGGTCCCAGGAAGGATGGCCCGTCTGTAATGAGAACCACCCTGCCGTCCAGACGACCGGGGATTGTGCAGAGGCAGGAGGAAGGCCATAACTTTAGCAGTTTCACCGCCAACACCGCCAACACGATACCCAACACAGCCTTTTTGAGCATCCTCTCCGCCTTACTGACTGCTGCTCCGTTTGCCTAATGGTCCAGCATTATAGATCATCACACACACACACAGAGACGCACCCACGCTCAGTAAGATGCTCACTGGTTAGACGCCGACGACTGCCCTGGCTCTTAATGAGATATCACGGAGGCCTAGCGCGAGGGCGGCTGCTTGATGCCTGCCGTTTAGCGACAAGTTTATTTTTGTGGTTAAACAACGGAGGTGATGCGCCATTACTAGTCGGCATTGTGAGCTGACAGGTATGCCGATTTCGCGACGACCTCTCCCCTGTTGCATAACATTAATGTCGAAGAAGGGGAATCTGGATTTGTTCGGCAGATCGATGCGAAAAGCAGCCTGGTTGCAATTTACAGCGCGCGTTCAAATCCCCCGTTGATGTTTGCAGAAAGGATCAAGGCAAGAACATATTAACGATGGTTTTTGTGAAATTGTATAAGCAGCTTTCAATCAAAGGGGTCTTAAATAGCGTAAGATAGTTCCTTTTTCGGATACTTTCCACAATCTATGTCTGTGTAGCCACACCTACCAGGAGGGCTGAAAAGCACTGTTAATGTTATTTATGGAGGTGAAAGAAAAGTTGAAAAGCCTTAATTGTCTAATCGGCAACGGTAGGGTGTAGGACCCCCAACTAACTTGAGCTAGCCTATGGACCGTGTCATATGCTGAATGGTGGAAGAGGGAATTTTACGGGTGGGGCAACACATAGGACGGAGAGCAAGAAGACATAGAAAATAGACAAATTCCTGCTGAAAGCCTTATCCTATGATGTCATTTCACAAAGAAAGTGGCAGCGACAATTAAAAGATAAACAAAAAGCAATTTTTAAAAAATAACGACTTTTGAATAAAGCGCAGCTGGTAAACTTGCATGTAGTCAGCAAGGGAAAGAGATTATAAACAGGGAGAACAGCGAATAATGAGTGAGGTTTGCAGTCACACTGAATTTTCGGGTATAGTTTTATAGTTGCCATCTACTTGTGGGTCCTACACCCTATCGTTACCCTGACCATCCCAGTTCGCACTGCCTCCGCTGGTACTCTTTCTTCTTTACTAAACGGCTGGCCGATAGGGCTCTAGATTAAGCAGCAAGGCGCAGAGGGACGAAAATTTCCTGCAAGTTGATAGACGGACGCATTTCCACCATATGTAACATATTTCTGATGATCTTTTGGCTTCTCCTAGGCCATAAAGCCTGCTGGTGCCTTTGTAAAGTACCATTTATTAATAAAAGAGGGCCTTAATTTATAAATATCTTTTAGAAGCAGCACAAACAACCGCGGAATTTTAAGCATACTTGAGTGACTAGACTGACTATCCCTTTCCACAGCCGGTCTTTTTAATCTAGAATCTCAAAAAAGCAAAAACGGAATTTAAAGAGACCAAATAGACTCAGAAGCTGTAAGATTGGGAGTAAAATTTAGCTTAGCAACTGACAGTTGCATTTTTAGTCAACATGACTGGAGTCCTAGTGTGCACGTTGGCTGGCCGTTTGCATAGCTTTATCGGCAGTCCATTAACGTCTGAGAGTACGGTCTCCTTAATACCGACTAGAACGTTAGTCTGATTTCTCTAGCGCAAACAAACCAAAATGCGTAGGCGAATTACTAAGAAGTGTTCGTGGGATTGGTGATTCTAATCTCATATAGATACCGAACCATCGCTTTTCTCTCATCGATTATGACAAGGTGAAGCTGCAGGCCAGCTCTAGAAGTCGGTTTCCCGCAACATTTACCTGAGCGGTTGACTAGGGTTCCATGAGTTCATTCCGTCGTCATCTATAATTTTACGTTAATATCGCATTAATTACTCGTCCACGAAAGACGGTGGTCGGCTGCCCTTTGGTTACTGCGACACTGTTGGACAAAGGCCAAAAGGGACGATAGGTGTGCCAGTTTAGCGCCTGCCTATCTAAATTTTATCAAGACTGTAACTTCAAGTACCCCTTGTTGGTGGGAGCCGTTCTAATCGACTTGCTCACACGTTGCCCTGACAACTCACGCACACACCGTCCTGACAATCCGCCTACACGCTGTGCGTGCGCTGATATCGCGCCAGCTCCCGACAGGACTGGGGGTTTATCAAACCAATGAAATGAGTGAGAGGTCCATCCGGCATGCTAGTTACTCAAGGCCAGTATCTGATTGGTTCAATATCAGTTCGACCTCAGGCACTCCTGTATGTTACTTTGATTGCCTTAGGATCACTGTTGGATTCAAATACACTTTCTTTCTTCTGCCCTTGATGTTGAGTTCCGATTTGCTAATCCGATTGTACAGAGTTGTTGGATGAACGACCATCGAGGCGCGCGGCAAGTTCACAACGCTCCTCCCAAAACTAGCTGAGACCGCATAAGTAGCACCGATTATCCTTAAGCGGAATTCAGGACAATAAATGCCTAGGAAATAGCTTACCAGTTTCACAAACGAGGCGACGGCCTGCTTGCTAGAAGTCTAACAAAGTGGTCTTGATATGCCTGCAGCCAGCGTCAAAGCGTGCTGTGCTAAGAGAGCAAGTCTAAACGGTGCCGATGATTGCGGCTATGATGGTGATGGCTGGCCAGTTTCGCCGATCTCAGGAGGGTAGAATCCTGGTTCGTCCATGGGCGCTATGCTGCAGACTAATCTTCCAAAATCGGTCAAATGA